TTAAAATATTTTATTTATTATTTTTATGTTATGTGTATGAGTGTTTTCCTGCATGTATGTAAGTTCACCCGTGTCATGCAATGCCCGTAGAGGACAGAAGAGGCTGTCGGATCCCCTGGAACTGGAGTTACAGACAGTTGTTAGCTGCCATGTGGATGCTGGGATTCGAACCTGGGTCTTCTGCAAGAACAGTGTTCTTAACCACTGAGCCATCTCTCCAGCCCCATAAACTCATTTTTATCTTTTCCTGAATGGTTAAGCTCTTTTAGGCAAGGATTTTGTCTTGGAAGCTCCAGTGCCTTTAGAAGGGTGCCCAGTATACAGGCAGGGGCTTGAGGAACTGTGCTTAAAGACATAACAAAATGAATAAAATCGTGATTTACCATTTCAAACTAATCTTCCTTTCCCTGATTTCCAAATAGCTGGGGAGCAGTGTCCAAAAATGTTACACACAAGACAAAGACAAAGAGACCAAGGGAGAGAAAAAACGGCCTTCTTCAGTGCATGCTGACTTCTCGGTGGAAATATGACTGAGATCGAGGAAGCTGAATGTGGCTGTCAGCAGGACGTTCTGTGCTCTTAAGTGACTGGAATATTTTAGTAAGCCCCACCCTGCCTTCACAGATGCCAGGGGATGAATGAGACTCTGCTGCAGGAAGAAAGCGGCCCCTGAGCAGGGGATAAGCATTTTAAATCACCTTCCTTCTTTTCTCCCCTTTGAGAGCTCCCAGGGCTGCACATGGATGCCTGCTTCCTAGGAAGAATAGCATTAACTGGCAGGGGTGGAGACCCTCAGCTAACGATGTTGTTAGAGACTTTTCTTTGTGGGAAGGTGCTCTGGGTCCTACACCTTGGAGTTGGGAGCCTGTTGTGGCAACCAAATTGGGAATAGGGAGTGCTATTCTTCCATTTTGGTGGTGATATTTTCCATTTTCAGTGCTGGTTGTGACAAAGCTGAAGGTGACAAAGCTCCTACTCTAGCCCTCCTGCCATTAGCTGGGGATTGTTCCCGGGGACTAAGACAGTGATAGACCAATCTGTTATTTCTTCTGCTTCTGCTGGCCTAGACACAGGCACCTACTTGGTGGTTGAAAAGTCTCCCTAAGGGACCTGCCCTTCTTGAAGACCTGACAGCATCCCTGAGAATCTCAGGCTCACTTCCTAGCACCTCTGCAAGGGAGAGAAGAGTATCTGCTGCAGACCGTGTTTCATTTCTTCTCTAGAAAGCACAATGTTGGGAGAGTGATGTAGTTCTGAGGTGGGTCATGTGACAGGTTCTAGGCTGGGCCATCTTGGAGACAGCTTCCAGCCTGAGAGATTCTGATCCTAGCCTGCACAACTTCTGAAGCTTTCCCTAGAGGACTTGGTCTCTGCTCTGGGGGCAATTAGAGAAAGCATCCAATTTTCCAAAGCCTTCTGGAAGGTAACTTTCTTATCTGACACAGGGCATCTTGCCTGTGGCGGGGCTTAGCAATGCTGGATGAGGACTCACTGTATGAATTTGTGAATCCAAGTCACCAGGACAGTGTGTATGTGGAGGGAAGGGGCTTCTGTCCGTGGTACTTTATCCAAAATGATAGAATATCATTTTCTTGAACTGAATCTTACTTGCCCCCTCCCCACCAAATAATTATATTCATCAAAAAGGGCAGCCCAGGGTGTGGGGTGGGAAATGTTGTCCTACTGAAGGGTAACTTGTGAGCTGGGACCACAGGTAACAACAGTATTTCGGGGACAACTTGTCATCACCCCCCCCATTCTGAAATGTTAAAGTAAAAGTTGCTACTGGCTAATGCTGTTAGTTAATTGTCGGACAACAGACAAACACTGCAGCCAGAAAGTCCCTACTGGGATTTCTTTGGCAACAAATGAAAGCCCTGGCTATGGCCCCTGAGGACTGGCTAAACACAAGCCCTCTTCTATGGGAGGCCCTCCCCTACTTTAGGCTGCAATAAATATGTGTGTGTGTGTGTGTGTGTGTGTGTGTGTGTGTGTGTGTGAGGGGCCCCCCCTCCTTTATGCTGTGATATATATGTGTGTGTGTGTGTGTGTGTGTGTGTGTGTGTGTGTGTGTGTGGTGGGCTGTCCGCACCTTAGCCCACAATTTTAAGGCAGGTGCACACCCCACTCAGGGGCACCACACCAGCATAATTCATCCCACGCCTACAGCTAGGGTGACCTCAGCCTCAATAGACAATAATTTAAAGGCATTGTTTACAAATCAATTTTCCCATCTAAATAGTCTGTTCCAAGAGTGGACCATTCTGCTAACCCAGTCTAGGCCCACCTGTCACTGGGACTTCCTAACCAGTGGTCACACTGTATTGATCTTTTTAATCCCCTCTCTTTGAAACACAGAGCCAGCTGATGTGGAGTTTCTCAAAAGAAAGGCTCCCTCTGCCCCTACCTCTACAGGTAGCTGCAGATCTGGGGCTAATTCCCCACTAAAAAGTCTTAATTGGCTTTATGGGGTGCCTGAAAGATCTCCCCTGTGTTTACAAGGTAGATAGATTACAAAAAAGATGGGTTACAAACTCTCTAGAATGTCTCTCTCTGGTTCTTGGTGGAAATCAGATTCGTTTTATTTTTAAACTGTTTTTGGAATAGGGTTGGAGGGTTTGGAGATGGAGAATAGTGTTTCACTTTATCAGTAGAACCACCCGGAGAAAGAGGGAAAAACCCCAGAGACACCAACATTAGGCAAGAAACTTTGTGACTTTTTTTTCTTAGTTTTTATTTGTCCAAAGCATCTGCAGTACAAAAATGTAAACTTTGATAGCTCATAATAATAGAATAAACTCTTTATGTACAAAAATACATTTTCATATGAATGAAGCATCCTGAATAAATTAAAGTACCCTCCAGCCCGGTGCCTGAATAGCTATGCAAGCCTCCGGTTCTTCCTAGAGCAAGCTCGGAGTGGTGGGGGTCGGGATTCATAATGCATGAAGCCCACTCCTTGTGTCTCCTTTTTAAGCCTTTTCATTGTATTGTCAGCCGGCTCAAACCGAATTTTCATGCTCGTTTTTCTTCATTAGAGTTCTACAAATTGTAAAATTGACTTTTCACCTCGTCTTCAGGGGCTCATCTGTCCCTTTTCCAAATCACACTGAAGTGGTGGCTGGGGTCAGTTCTGAGCCAGTCACAAAAGAGTTTTGTGGAGTTCAGAAAGTGCAGAGGAAAAGGCCGTCTGGGGATGGGCAGGAGGGGGCTGGAGCAGAAGGCTGGAGAAACAGACCCAGAGACAGCCACTGCAAGGGTGCAGCGACCTTACTTGTGGCCAGGTATTTCCTACCCCCCTTTAAGGCTCCGGCTTCCTCCCTCCAGCTGGAGGGGGGGGGGTGTTCCGAGGCCTCAGCTGGGTTCCCATCTGTTGCCGATTGATTGGGGGAGGAGGAAGGTAATGGTGCGCCTAATGGTAAGGGATGAAACAGGGCGTCGTGTGGAGAAGGTCTTTGGGCAGACCAGGGAAGGAGAAAAGGGGGTCACCAGGGCCATAGGCGAAGTCTTCAGAGGCAGAGGGACTACTGGGGTCAGAGAGTGGCGACGCGATGGTGGCGCAGGGAGAGGCGGCGGCTCCCGAGCCCCAGGACTCCGCATCGCTGGCGGGGCTAGGGGGCCCGGCCAGGCAAGGGGCGCACTGCGGCGGCAGAAGGCGCTCCCGGGCACAGCCCCCGGGTAGCCCTTGGTCTGCCAGGCGCAGCGTCTCAGCCAGGGCCCAGATGTAGTTGTAGGCGAAGCGCAGCGTCTCAATCTTGGTGAGCTTGGTGTCGTCGGGGAAGGAGGGCAGCACGCTGCGCAGCGCGTCCAGCGCAGCGTTCAGGTTGTGCATGCGGTTGCGCTCGCGATCGTTGGCCTTGACCCGTCGGCTCCTGCGCAGAGAGTGCAGGAGAGCCTCGGACCGCACGCGCGCTCGACCTCGCCGGCGCCTCCGCTCCTGCTCTTCCTCCTGCGCCCCTGGAATATCCGATGCCCCGGGAGACACGGACGTGCCCCTGCGGGTCGGCGCGGACAACCCCGAGGTGGAGGCGAGGGACTGGAGCCTGGCACAGTCTTCCTCGTCGGTGAGGAAGCTGGACAGGTCGCTACTGTTGCTGCTGGCACAGTCAAGATCTGAGAGGCAGGTCTCCAAAGGGGCCGGCATCTTTGCGCAGTGCAGGACCGACAGATGGACGCGAGGTTTGGAGAGCAGGAGTCTGGGCCGTCGGGGTGCACTTACGTTGGAAAGGCGTGGGGGCTGGTTTGTGCTGGCTGCTGCAGGCTCGGGGAGGGGAAGATCCCAGAGGCGCCAAGGGAAATGGGCTTTGCCTCCTCGCCTCGCCTGCAGGGGCCACGCGCCGGGCAACTCTCCCGAGTGATGTCGCCGGCGATCAGATCAGCTCGTGTGAGCACCGAGTGTGGCACACGACTGGCCTCAGGACCCCTTAAGTACCCGGTGCAACAATGGGCGCCCCCTCCTTGCCACCTCCGCCCTCGAGGCGGCGCGGGTGAATGGAGCGAGGCGGCAGGTCAGCCCCGTGCGGAGCCGTGCATTTGCATAATTTATGCTCGCGGGAGGCCTCCCCCGCCCCGCCCCCCTCCTGGAGCGTGCCCGTAATTACCGCCGGCCAATCCGCGGCTTGGTCTGCCCGCAGAGCCCGCTCGGGCTGGGCAGGCCCCGGCGTCTCCGGCGGTGAAACCAGGGCCCGGGCGGGGTCGGGGGCGATTAGCGGCCGAGGCACGCTCCTCCCGGGGCAGCCCAGGCGTCCCCCGTCGGGGTGGGATGAGGAGGCGGGCCCTGGCAGGAAAGTGTGGACTGCGCCGCAGGCGTCACAAACCTGGAGCTGGCTGGGATTCTGGGTTCGCATCCCCCCCCCACCCCCATCCCTCCAGCTGCTGTATCTGGGCAAGTAATTTCACCTCTCCAAGCCTCATTTTCCTTATTTAAGTATACCGCTGGAAGATGGGATGAATGAGGGCACGTTCGCGGATCCCTTGGCTGGCATGAGGTTACAAATACTCAGCACCTTCTGAACAAGTGAGAAACAACGTCCAAATAGACCCGAGAGAAAGGGCAAAGAGCCACAAGGCAGGGGAAGGGATAGGAGGCCCTGTTCCGCTTCCGCCAAGGTGGTGAAGAAACGGAATGAAGCTGTTGACCTTCACCTAGTTCTTAGGAGGAGGCGGAGAGGAAAGGCAAAAGCAAATGTCCATTGGTTTCCCATGCTGGGCTGGGTCTTCACGGCCCCAGTCTCTCCCTGGCTAAGGAACAGAGTGTGCCAGGCTTCTCTTGTCAGGTCTCCTGAGATCTTGGTCCATCCATCTTATATAGTCATTAAAGAACAACCCTGGATAATAGGGTGGAGTATTAAATACAAAAGGAACATCTTTCCCAAAGGTCTGAGTGGTGGCCTCAGGCCTGCTGCCTAGTCTGCAACATGTCCTCAGAGGGGTATCTGTCTGGAACACCAGCCCCTTTGTGAAGTGTTGTCTGGAGTAGTGGCCTCTCTGCTGACTAGTTAGCCTCTTGCTCCCTGGCTCCAGGACTCTACAGAACTGTCTCCTTCCCTCTGCAGCAGCTCACATAGATCCAGTCTTGTATGCCTTATAGACAAAGGCTTGAGATTTGTTAGAAGTCATAGAACAGGGCTTCAATCAGATTATGCAAAAAAGGATAATCATTGACAGATACTGGGGTAGCTCAGGTGCCCATGGGCTGCTGGGAGTTTTTCCATAAAAAATTACCACAGGGGCTAGAGAGATGGCTCAGCAGTTAAGAGCACTGAATGCTCTTGCAGAAGACTGGGGTTTGATTCCCAGCACCCACATGGCAGCTAACAACCATCTGTAACTACAGTTCCAGTGAATCTGATGCCCTCTTCTGACCTCCTTGGGCATTGCATGGCATGGGTACACTTCTACACATTCAGGCAATACACTCATACACATAAAATAAGAATAAGTAAAAGTATTTTTTTAAAGACCATAGAGTGTGTGCATTGATTCAACAGATTGTTCTCCCACAGTTCAGAAGGCCAGAAGTCCCAAACCAAGGTGCCTGCAGGGCTGTTCCTTTCTGAGGGGCTGGAGGAAGTGCCCGTTCCTTGTTCCTTTTTTAGCTTCTGGTGGCTCCTGGATGCCCTTGCCTCACTAATTTATAAGCCTTCTTGCCAATTCTGCCTCCAGTTCACCTGTCCTTCCTGGATCTCTGTATCTTCTGCCTCTGAAGGAGAACTGCTAGATTTAGGGTATTGCCTAACCCAGGGTGACTTGAGATCCTTGCTTTCATTACATCTACCAGAACTCTTAGTGAAGGTAAGGCCACATTCTGAGGCTCTGCTGGGCCTATTTTGGGAGGTTACAACTCACTATTCAGTCCTTTTCTCAGGTTTCTGGAGGAGAGAACTGGTTTGACTAGTGTCACTGGGATGGATTTGTCAAGTTGCCAGGCTGCCCACCTCCTGAGTTGCCTTCTACTGGAGGATGTGAAGGCCCATTTCTGTTTCTGGCACTTTGGGTATGGCCATGTGATTTTAAATGCAGTCCATCAAATGCCCCAGTTGAAATCTAGACTTGGGGCTAGTAGCATTTCAAAGGCCACTTGTGTCGTGGTGACAACTTGGAAGAGCCAGTGGCCAGTGGTGGAAGAGGTGACCAGGAGCTAGTAGATGTCCTGACCAGATCTTCCCAAGGGCCTGATCTCTACTATGGTAGTTTTCCTGTTTGTCTTCTGAGTCTGGCTCTCCAACCTTCCCACCAGCTGTGCAAGAACTCTCTTTGTCTAGCGGGACCCTTCTGCTTCCATTTGCCAGGTTTAGTGCCTGTGGCTTAGCAAATAAAGCCATGTTGAATGCTGAAGTTGCCAAAACCTAGAGACTTATGCTTGTTTCATTTGGAGGCAACCTAGAGACCAGGTTGATGATGGCTTGGTCTGGGCTAGGCATTGTGATGACCCTGGGGTGACAGGACATTGGGGGTGGCTGGCTGAGAGAGGCCTGGAATCCTGATTATTAGGTGGTTTTCAGTGCCAGTAGAATCTATGGGAATTGTCCATTTAGCCTATACCTCAGACACAGGAGACTGAGGTGTGGGATGGGGAGCTCTTTTTCTCAGGTCACCCTAGGTTTTCCATCTAGTGCTTTTCAGCTCCATTTTGCATTTTTCTGTTACAATCCAACAGGCAGTGCCCTCTAAGCACCCACTGCATGTATGTTCCAGGTCAGGTGCTCTGAGGAGTGTCAGGCAGGCCTATAGTGTTGCTGGAGGGAAACATAGATATAAAACATTGTCTAGCCATCTAGCTAAAGGCTGGAGAAGTGTTGGGAGGCTATTAAGGGAGCAAAATACTTCCCAAAGGAAAAGGAGTGGTAAGGGATGGCTTCTTAGCAGAGGCAGACTTGAGAAGGCCTTGAGAGAAGGATTTGATGTGAATAGACAACCTAGGCAAAAAGGAGGGTGGCAATTGGAATGACTAAAACAGCAATGTAGGAACCCATCTGGGTGGGGCTTCTGTGGGGCCCAGCTAGAAGAAGATAAGGGACAGCTGTGGCGGGCGTTGAGTGGCTGTTATGGTTTTTCTGTCTCTTCCTCCTCTTTTCTTTCTGAGCTGGCCTGTTACTCACAGTTGTTCCAGGTCCACTGTACAAAGTGTCTGGCAGGAGACACAAATAGGAGCCATGCAATTTGAGCCATATGATCTTAAGTGCAACAATCTGCCTGTCATTGCTTAAACCACATGCTCTGATATGGGCTGTACTTGCTCAGAGAAGGTACTTTCCATATGTACACTTGGGTCCCTTATGAACTAGGAGTGGTTCTAGGCATTCTTCTGCCATGGCCCCTTTCCCCTGCTGCCTGAACCTGAGTGACCTGACAAGGTAGGCATTTCCAGTGTATGTGGAGCTCAGGGGCCCCTCCTGCAAGTGATCCTATGAGGATAGAGCTGGCCATGAGAAGGGCACCTGACAATGAGAGGGTGGTGGGCTGGCTTCTGCTCTGAGGCTATATCTCCTGCTAGGGAGGTGAAAGTTTCTCCTGCCACCTGAATCCCTCCCAGCCCAGGAGCACATCTGTGGACACTCCCATTCCCAGAGAACAATAGGATGTGATATGGGTATGTAATAGATCCAACCACAGCAGGTGCCGAGCTGATGATGCTGCGCCAGGTGTTCTGGCTGCCTGATGTGTGAAGCATCCAGCTGCCAATCTGCTGGGAGGTAAGGGTAGGTGGGGCACATGTCTCAAAAGACTAAGGATTATGCCGGAGTTTCTGGAGTGGGAGGTGAGGGAGGGACCACTGACATACTTAATTCTAGGCAGCCCTAGAAATCTGACTCAAGGCTCCCATGGGACAATAGGAGGCAATTTTACTTCTGTATGGAGAAGATTTTTTCTGAGATCAACTTACTGATGAAACAAGATTTCTAAAATAAGAGATAGGAAACAAGGGCTGGGTGGGACAGGGTGGGGCAGACTTCCAGGGTCTCTAGAGGGGTTTGCTTGTTTTATTTTCATGGAGAAAGACTAGATTAGGGGGAAAGGTGATGGTAAATTATAACCATTTGTAGATAATAAACTAATGTGCTTAATGCATAAACAAAAGCAATTTGTGCTATTTATAAGTACTTTCAGGATTTTAAAACATCAAGTTATAGTGCCCATAGCATGGAGATCTAGAGATGGAACCTGCTTGCTGTCTGTGCCGGACATCTTCCTTAACCCTATCAGAGTCTCAGTGACCATGTGTATGACTTTATTTGGAGTCAGTGTCCATGGCTTGGCAGCCCTTTGTGGAAGCAAGGCTGAGCCAAATGGCCTCTGTGCCACTCACCCTCACCTTCAGAAACATTTAAGTTTGAGGTTGAACAAATAATCATTTAGAGATGTCATGCTAGGGTCCAGGATGACAGGTTGTTGCCCTGAAAGTATAAGCGGGGATGTGATGTGATAACATGAATGAGGGCAGGGACACCATCACATTTCGCCCCCTGCAAGCTGTGTTAGTGGAGAATGATCATCCTCCTCACCTCCAGTGGGTTAGAAAAACATTAGTTCCAAGAGTACTGTGGCGCGGCACCTATAAGTAGATCCAAGTTTTGTGCGCTCAGAAGCCAAAGGTTTGTTGTTGTTGTTGCTTTTAGTGGACTCTCAGCTGCAATTCATAAC